GGTTCAAACCCACCAGCCACTCCTCAGAAGGAAGGTTGGGCAATCTACTTCCTTAGTGATACTGCCTTGGAAACCCAAGAAGGGGTCACTATGAGTAGGGACCAACTCAGTGGCATACCACCACCACCACCACCACCACTGTTTTAGCTACACTACCTGATGACTACACTATGTAAGAACATACAATAAAACCTAATTTCTCCCATATGATTCCAAGCCACCAAAAAGAACTACAAGTATGTTGGCTCAACAATCAATTTAATGAAACAATTTCTGAGCAAAGTAGGAAACGATCACCTTTCATCTTCAGTGATATAAATCATATGGAATTCACCTATACTTGACTTTGGCTTATTGTAAACATTTTTTTTTTTTAAATGGTTTCAAATTCCAAAGTTAGAAAACTCAAAGTTCAGGCCTTGACTAACAATTCAAAATCCTCTCATCAAGCCTGTTTCTCCTTAGTTTCTGTAACAGGGAACACTCTTTCATTCATCTTTGTGATGATTTCACTTTTAGACTGCTTTTCAGAAAGATGCCCCTGAGAATCTAAAGTAGATGGTTTCTACATCAGAGTGTTATTAAGGCAACAAGAACATATCCTAACCCCCTAACAGTTTTAGCATTCACTGGTAACACTTCACACAAATCAATTAATTCTCTGTAAATATGGTAGTTTTGCAAAATATTGATTTTGTGACCAGTTTCCTTCTGTATTTATTATTATCCTGAAAAAAAGAATGAACCTTAGTATAAACTACAGCTACTCTAACTAGGAGCACTGGTGATGCAAAAGTTAAGTGCTCAGCTGCTACCAAAAGGTCAGCGGTTCAAACTCAACAGTCGCTCTATGGGAGAAAAGACCTGGTGATCTGCTTCCACAAAGATTACAGCCTAGGGAACCCTTTGGGAAGTTCTACTATGTCCTACAGGGTGACTATGAGTCGGAATCAATTTGATGGCACAAAGCAACTCTTAATTACCAAAAGCCAAACTCACTGCTGCCAAGTCAATTCAACTCATAGTGACCTCTCCTTGGATTTCCAAGGTGGTATCTCTAGGGAAGTAGATTGCCCAATCTTCCTTCTGAGGAGTGGCTGGTGGGTTTGAACTGCCAGCTTTCCAGTTAGCAGTCAAATGCCCTACGCACTACACCACCAGAGCTCCTAACTCTTAATTATGGAAGGGAAAAGGCTTAATACTTTTACTTAACAATTTCAGAACCAGGAATTGCTGTATAAAGTCATCTGCTAAGAGTAGTAAGAAAGGTTTTTCCCCTTTCCTTTTTGCACTTGTTGTTGTTGTTGTTGTTGAGTGCCATCAAGTCGTTTCCGACTCATAGCAACCCCATGCGCAGCAGAATGAAACACTGCCCGATCCCGCGTCAACCCCACAGTCCCTCCTATACTTGAGCCCATCATCGCAGCCACCGTGTCAATCCATCTCATTGAAGGCCTCCCCCTCTTTTGTCAACGCTCCACCCTACCAAGTATGACATCCTTCTCCAGGGAATGGTCCCTTCTTACAACATGACCAAAATAGGTGAGACGAAGTCTGGCCATTCTTGCTTCCAAGGAGCAT